GATTTCTTCACAGTTTTTACTGGATAGGCTTACATAGTCTGACTGTCGATTTCTTCACAGTTTTTAGTAGATCTAGGGCTTTTAAAGAAGGGCTTTTCTTATCTGTTCCTCTCCTTTTTTTTTTTTCTCTTAATATGAAGCATAAAGGTAGAGAAGCTTTTAAATTCTATTCTATTGGATTTTATTAAGATACTGATTTTTTTTCTTCTGAGGATTCATTAGGTGGTATTTTTGAATACCTAACATAGCCAGAAATGATTATTAATATTGATGTGACATATTCATAGTTTCTGACATCTTTAGAGCTAAAAAGTTTATTTAAGTCTGTATCATCCAACCCTTTTGTTTGACTGTAAAAGAAATAGAAAGCCATTGAGAGTGTGATGTTCCGAGATTACTGAGCGATTCTGTGTCCTCAAAAAGCCAGCGCTGGCCATGGATCTTCTTCTGCCTTGTAGCTCTCAGAGATGTTGTTTTCCATTTTACTGCCAGGAATTCCCAGAGCCCTGATTGTATTTAAGTGGATAAAATGTCTGCAGAGATTGTGCTGATTTTCTTCCCTGTGATTTTATATTATTTATGTAAGAGAATATTTGGAGTATCTCAGTTGTTGTATACTTTCATTAATTTATTAATTTCAGGGATTTATCCCCCACTAGATATTTTTAACTCCAACCGAAATATATTATTTGATGCAAAATGACTAAGGTTCCCTCAAAGACAGCAGAAAAATCTCAGCTTGCATTAACTATTAGAAAATGCATTTTTTTAGCTGGGTACAGTGGCCCACGCCTGAATCCTAGCACTTTGGGAGGCCAAGGCGGGTGGATCACAAGGTCAGGGGATCGAGACCATGGTGAAACCCCATCTCTACTAAAAATACAAAAAATTAGCTGGGCGCGGTAGCGGGCACCTGTAGTCCCAGCTACTCAGGAGGCTGAGGCAGGAGAATGGCGTGAACCCGGGAGGCGGAGCTTGCATCGAGCCGAGATCGCACCACTGCACTCCAGCCTGGGTGACAGAGCGAGACTCCATCTCAAAAAAAAAAAAAAGAAAGAAAGAAAAATGCATTTTTGTACATCCAGGAGAATTTGAGATTACCTCGGGCAGTAGCAAAGGTACACTTTTTAGAGGCTAGGTTGCAAAAGTCAAACTGGCAGCGGGTGGGATACTGCAGACTCTAAGTGAATCCTTGTTCCTTGGTCTCAGCCCCACAGGGCTCCTTGTGGGTCATGGCTTTGTAGTTTGGAAGCGACACTGGCCCCACAGCATTCACGCTCACTGTGCAAGACTGGATGTTTTTTGTGCCAATGTGGCCACACAGTTTAGGAGCAGAGGCAGTGTGTGGTCTCAGTGTGGGTTCCCTAGGCCTCAACCCAGACCCTAGGGCCTGTTGCTTCTGGTGACCCATTCTGCATAAGGGAGGGCCTCTGCGGCTCTGAGCACCTCTGTTCTCTTGTATTTGGGACTTAATATCACTGTTCAGGAAGAACTTACATAAACAGGAACATCTTACTTTCCTAATTCTTGACCCAAACCCAGCCTTAGCAAAGCCTCTTCCCATCACCTCGGGAGAATGTGGAATCATTGTCCAGAAACCCCTGACGTTTCCTCTGCCTTCAGCTTTCCGGCCTCAGGACGAGGCTCAGCTCCTGCCTGTTCTGAGAGTTCCTCGTGCGGCTGAACTCTCCGCAGGCCTGTCACGTGCAGTTTGTAGGATTAAGCTTGACAAGTAGAATTACTTTTGTATTTTGAAATCTATTAAATTCAAATCTGTTTTATATGAAATGGAATCCTTTTTTAAGATTGCTGTCAGGACAGAATGAATATACGTTAATAAGAATTTTTTAAAGCATGTGGTCATTTAAAATAGAAGATATATGATCACTAATTATATGTTAAGCTGGAGGATGGTGTTTCACTAAGTTATTTTCATTCTGTTGAATTATGAGTGATTAAAATGTATTGTGGAGGTACATTTTTAAATATGTCTTTATATTTTTCATGAATGTAGAAATCATCTGGGCAGGGTCAAACTTTTAAAATGTTATCATAATGGCTTGCCAGATGACCTTAGGCAAATCAGAATCTCTGTGAAAGTTAGTTTCTTCAGTTTTTCTCTGTTAAGTAGGACTTCCCAGGCAGTTCCTGTTGAATTTGGGGTTATAGATTTTACTTAAGGAAAGTCATTGATCACAGAAATGAAACTGGGCTGATATTTTTTGAGATAATAAAGGGAGGGGGCTTTTGCCTTTTAAATCAGGAGACGGTGGTAGAATACGGAGCAGGAAGGGGCCTGAAGCAGGTGCGTTGGTCTCACGCGTGCTGGCTCTGCCTTCTTTGCAGCCGAGGAGTACCTGTCATTTGCCTTTGAGCATTGTCACCGTTCTAGTCAAAAGAACAAAAGGATGATTCTGATCTATTTGCTTCCAGTAAAAATGCTATTGGTGAGTGATTGTTACTCCCTGTTTATAGATCCTGGTGTTTTCACGAAGTTGACAGCTGATAGGCTTTTTAAAACCTAGCAGACAGTGGTTGATCACAGCCTGAGCTATGTATGGGCACACCCCAGAATGAAGAAGGAACATGCACTGTGTGTGGCCGAAACCCAGAGCTTCATGCCTTACGCCTCCAGGTCCTTCTAGAAAAGCTTTCCCTGTGTCCTGTTTCCCTTTAAAGTATTTAGCTCTACAGTTTAATATTCATGTGACAAAATAAGTACCTATCATTTGTATTCCTCCCTTAAAACCTAAGTTAAAAGCAGTGGATTCACCGAGAAAGAAAAAATGTCATTTCAACCTCTCTCTGGGTATTTCATTTAGTTACTAAAATGTATTTTTGATACTTGAAATAACTAGCAAGTTAATTGACCGAGAAAAGCATTACACACAGCTGGCTAAAGCGTCTGTAATTCCGAATGGATTGTGATGGAGAAGTGCTGCTGTGGCCCTGCCCTCCCCACTTCTCACCCTGTTTAAGAGACAGCCAGTGTCAAATTCTTAGCTGATTCTTCTGGAAGCTACCTCCGTATTCCTAGATCACATGCTTATACTCGCGTTTCTTCAGTTATCACTCTCCTGTTGTAGAAATGCAAAGAAATGTGAGAAGGTCAAGGTGAAGGTCACGTGTCATGCATGACGCACATGTACTGCACCAGGTGTTCTGATTTCAGGTCACGTGTCATGCATGACGCACGTGTACTGCACCAGGCGTTCTGATTTCAGGTCACGTGTCATGCATGACGCACGTGTACTGCACCAGGCGTTCTGATTTCAGGTCACGTGTCATGCATGACGCACGTGTGTTGCACCAGGTGTTCTGATTTCGAGACCCGTGTTGTTTTCCTAATGTGCTGTGATGTGTTTAATCTGTGGACATCTAAGAAACTCAGGTTGCAATTTTCTTAAAACTTAATTCCTTGATATGAATGTTTATCAAAGACAATTTTGTCAAAAATGAAAGTGTTTTCGTTCTGGAAAATTGACTCTGTCTTAGGGTCACATGCCCACTGTTGAGCTCCTGAAAAAGTATCACCTGATGCAGTTTGCGGAAGTAACCAGAGCTGTGAGGTAGAGTATGCTATCCTTTCCGTTTGGGGTTTTACAAATGCAAGCCTGGTGAGAGTTGACGTGCACGCTGTGTGAGAAACTCACCCTCCTTCTGACGCGTGTCCCCCCCACCAGCGAGGGCAACCTGCTGCTGCTGCACGAGGCGCTGGCGAAGCACGAGGCCTTCTTCATTCGCTGTGGGATCTTCCTCATCCTGGAGAAGCTGAAGATCATCACCTACAGGAACCTCTTTAAGAAAGTGTAAGCGTTTCCCCAGCGCACTGGGCTCCCAGTGTGGCTCTCGGCAGAGCGGTCAGACGTCCAGGGCCGTTGCAGGCTAAGAAAGGAGGCTACCGTGTGGGCAGGGTCGTCATCTTTCTTCCGCTGTGTGGGATAAAATGAAGCCTCCGCCCACTGCCTGCTGGGGCCCTGCGCAGAGTCACGTGAGTAGCACAAGCTGTGCCTCGACTTCTGGGGGAGGTAAGCAGATTCTGTGTGAGAAGACGACCTGAGAACATCAGCCCTGAGAGCCGCGGTACCACGTTTCATCAGACTACATAGGACTCGCTACTCACTCCCCTCCCTTAGTCCTGACTAAGCAGCCCTCCCAGCCACTCTGCCTGTCACAAATGCAGACACAGAGATCGTCATTCCTTTCCTCACATGTCTTCTGAGGCCTCGTCCCAGCAGGATCTCAGTTCAGTAAACTTCAGGCAAAGGCCAACTTTGTACAGAGCTGTGGGTAGCACATCACAAAGAGTAGGGGCCGTATTTCGCTGAATCAGAGAGACACAGCCCGTTGTCAGGTGCTTCCTGATTTCAGGGAGATTAAAATGTGAAAAAAAGGCACCTTAGATTAATGAAATATTTAGAAAATAATTAAAAACTGTATTTGTACTAGTGACTTTTTTAAGATTGAAAAGTCAAATTAGATTTAATAGCCCTTTGAGAGTGTATTTTAGAGTTTAATAGGTGGGAATTTTTGTGCTCCTTTAGAACACTGGCTTATTAAAAGGTGCCTTTTCTTGGCTGCGGAGTGCTGCGTCCTGTCAGTAACCACAGTGCCCGTCTCCTCCCCTCTTGCAGGTATTTGTTACTGAAAACACACCAGCTGTCTCTGGATGCTTTTCTGGTTGCCTTGAAATTCATGCAGGTGGAGGACGTGGACATTGACGAAGTTCAGTGTATTCTGGCTAACTTGATATACATGGTGTGTGAGTCCTAGTTTTAATTTAAGCAGCTACTCACAGCAGGATTCAGACCAGAATTTGAAGCTTCAGTGTGGTGGTGTTAAAATTGTTAAAATATCTTTTGCTTTTATTGAAGGTATTTTTTTTTGGTAGAACTAATTTTAGCCCAGGAAATACCATTCACCAGGACCTTAGGAGCATGAGGGGATGGATACTCTGTATGTTTGCATATTCTTTACCGGCGGTACATCCCTCGGTATCTGTTGAGTCTCTGAATCCCCCTCGGATACCAAAATCCAAATGTGCTGCAGTCACTGATAGGACGTAGTATTTGCATATGAGCTATGCACATTCTCCTGTATACTTTAAATTATCTCTAGGTTACTTAAAATAGTGCACTGTAGATAGCTGTTATACTGTATCGTTTAGGGAATCACGGCAGGGAAGAGCATCTGTACATGTTCAATACAGATGCGTTTTTTTTTTCCCAAATATTTTCAGTCCACAGTTGGTTGGATTCACGGATGTGAAACCCACCATGGATATGGAGGGTCGATTGTATTTATTTTTATTCATTGTCCTCCCGCTGAACTGAACTGTGCCGCTCTTGGGGAAGAATGCATAATGCCAAATTTATTAGATCACCCAGCATCTTGGACATGACTCAGATCCAGAAATGTAAACGAACTCCTGCCTTTCTGTCCTGCAGGGCCACATCAAAGGCTACATATCGCATCAGCATCAGAAGCTGGTGGTCAGCAAGCAGAACCCATTTCCTCCGCTGTCCACGGTGTGCTGAGTGTGTGCGAAGCCCTGAGGACGGGTGAGCAGTTGTTTCTTTCTGTTCTGGTTGTGCCGATGAGACCGGTCTGGTACTGCGACAAGGCCCCTGAAGCCGGAACTCTGGGAGGCGCTTCTCCCTGGGATGCCGAGGCTGAGATTGTCAGCACACCCGAGTCAGTCTCCTCCGTTTGTAACTAATTTCAGCCTGATGAAAACCTGGAATTCCTTTTTCACAAAACTCGGCTGGTTCTGGAGTCTTTGTGAAACTTCTTTGAAGGAGGCTTTGCGTGAAGGCAGCTCCGGCTCACTTTTCCTAAGTGTGGTTCCTGAAGGCTGTCTTTGTAACTTTTTGTAGTTCTTTGTATAAAAAGGGTATTCTGAATTTATACACATGGCATGTTCTTCATTATATCTTCCAGGATACATCTATTTTTATATATTAAATTTGAATATGTTATCAAAATGCTTGGTTAACTTAAGGCATCTTTTTAAAAGCAGAATTTAATTTGATTTAAATTTTCCAGATTTTATAGCTTGCCCGTATGGATGCTCCTCAATTTATGATGGGGTTACATCCCAATAAACTTACTTTATTTACCTTTGCTTTGTTGGTTGGAAAAAAACACGTTACTTTTAAAAAAACATCTTAAGTTGAAAATGCATTTGAACACACCTGCTACTAAACAGTATGGCCCACTCTAGCCTGCCTTAACATACCCAGAAACCTCCACTTAGGCAAAATCAAACACGAAGCTGACCTTATTTTATAATAAAGTGTAGATGCCATGCGTGGTGGCTCACGCCCGTAATCCCAGCACTTTGGGAGGCCAAGGCGGGCAGATCACCTGAGGTCAAGAATTGGAGACCAGCCTGACTAACACGGAGAAACCCTGTCTCTACTAAAAATACAAAATTAGGCGGGCGTGGTGGTGCATACCTGTTAATTCCAGCTACTCAGGAGGCTGAGGCAGGAGAATTGCTTGAACCTGGGAGGCGGAGGTAGGCAGAGGTGGCAGTGAGCTGAGATCACGCTGTTGCACTCCAGCCTGGGCAACAAGAGTGAAACTCTGTCTCAAAAAAATAAATAAAAATAAAAGTGTAAATATCTCGTGTAGCTTACCGAGTGCTGCACGGAGAGTGGAAACCGAAGGGCTGTGTGGACGCTGAGGCATGGCTGCCCCTGAGTGCGTCCCTTTGGCACCATGGTGAGGTTGACAGTTGCTAAGTCGGGCCACTCACATTGGGCTATTGGGCTGCCATCACAAAATACCACAGGCTGGGCAGCTTAAGCAACAGGAGTGTATTTCCTCACAGTTCTAGAGGCTGCAGGTCTGCCTGGGATGGGGTTACCAGCATGGTGGGCTTCTGGGGAGGACTGTCTTCTGAGCTGCGCACTTAAGAATATGGTGGTATTCTTACTGTGCTAGAGATGGTACAGACAGGGATGACTCTCTCTCTTTTTTTTTTTTTTTTTTTTTGAGACAGAGCCTCGCTCTGTCGCCCAGGCTGGAGTGCGGTGGTGCAGTCAGTGCTTACTACAGCCTCAACCTCTGGGGCTCAAGTGGTCTTCCCTCCTCAGCCTCCCGAGTAGCTGGGACCACAGGTGCATGCCACCACACCCAACTAATTTTTTTAGTTTTTGTAGAGACAGGGTCTTGCTAATGTTGCACAGGCTGGTCTGGAACACCTGGGCTAAAGCAATTCTCCCGCCTCGGCCTCCCAAAGTGCTGGGATGACAGGCATGTGCTACCACACCTGGCTCTCTTCCTCTTATAAGGCCACAGTTCTGTTGGGTTAGGACCTCACCCTTATGACCGCATTTAGCCTTAGTTACCTCCTGAAGACCTTACCTCCAGATACCGTCACATTGGGGGTTAGTACTTCAACGTAAGAAATTTGGGAGGACACAGTTTAGTCCCCAGCACTGCCATTTTTCAGTGTGTGCACATTTCCCTGTTTATAACAAATTTACTAAAGAAGAACACACAAACCATATTAGCTCATCTTTGCAAAGTTACTGCATTTGAAAGCTGCTTGTGCAAGGAGAAGCTATGCTACAAAGTGTGAATCCCTCTTTCTCTCTCTCTGGGCTTCACAGTGCAGGACTCACTTTGTGTGGCTCCTTCCTCAGGTTCCCCTGGATGCAGGAACTGCCCCAGGGCTTCAGCGGCACTCCTTAGCTTGCTCCTATATCTGCAGGTCTACAGTTTCTTCGGGGCTGGGCGGCGAAGTTTGTGGGCTCTTCTGGGGCCTGAATGGGCCCCTCTGAAGGTGACTCATTCCCATGTATCAGCCCTGGGCTCTCACCTGGGGCTCAGCAGGGCTATGGGTGGGCTCCCCTATTTCTTTCCACACGCAGGGAGCTGGATTCTGGGAGCGCAGATCCCAGTAGAGCCAGGGAAGCCAGATCTCTTGTATGCCCTGCTCTCTCTTAAGTCACACCCGGATTCCAGCCGTGGACTGCCGCATGCACACATGAGCTGCAGGAGGGCAAGCGCCTGTGCCTGTGGACTTCATGCCAAGGATCCTCTTGACCTACAGAGCTGCTCCCCATGAGCAGCAAGGTCCTCAGCGCTGACAGTCGTGACAAGTGCCTCCTACGTCCTGTGGGGCAGACACGGAGCGAACTCATGTCGGTGAAGGCTTTGGGTGCTGCGTCTGTTTTCTGGCTACTCCTGTGTCCAGTGCGGCCCTGTTCTCTTTCAGTGTTGGGTAAGGAAATCTGATCTTCCCTGCTGCTCAGCATGGACCTTGAACATCCTTCAACTTTTGATTTAAGTGATTTTCTTACAGTAATTTGAATATTGGAATTTCTACCGGCATACCTGAATTTCATTCTGGATTTAATAGCGGTAGAAAGCTCAGGTTTGTCAACATTTCTGGGTAACATATTGAACCGTCCGTCCATTTAAGGTAATTGGATGGTTATTCTTAGCAATGAAAGAAACAACCTCAGTGTAGGTGTCCTTACCTTTACCTCTTGGTGTTCAGGCCTGTGTCAGTTTGTTCTCACACTGCTATAAAGAACTGCCCGAGACTGGGTAATTTGTAAAGGAAAGAGATTTAATGGACTCACAGTTCCACACGACCGGCGGGGCGGGCACAGGAAACTTACAATCATGGCAGAAGGGGAGGCGAGCGTGGGGAAAACTGCCAGTTTTAGAACCATCAGCTCCCGTTAGACTGCCCCACTATCACCAGAACAGCATGGGGGAGCCGCCCCATGATCCAGTCACTTCTCGACACCTGGGGATTACAGTTTGAGATGAAATTTGGGTGCAGACACAGAGCCAAAACATATCAAGGCCTACGTCTAGCATGGCAGCATTCAAGTTCATGGGTGTCCATGTGGGCATATATCAGTGTGTTTGCATGGATTCAGATGTTGGACTTAATCTCTGCCCAAGTGTAAACTTGTTTGGTCCTTTTAAAACATCATCACAGGCTGGATGTGGTGGCTCACATTTATGACCCCAGCACTTTGGGAGGCTGAGGCCAGTTAGATTGCTTGAGCCCTGGAGTTCGAGACCAGCCTGGGCAATATGGCAAAATCCATCTCTGCAGAAAATACAGAAATGAGCTGGGCATGGTGGTGGCACCTGTAGTCGAGGCTGCGGTGGGAGCGTCAGTTGAGCCCAGGAAGTGGAGCCCACAGTGAGCTAGGATCGTGCCCTGCACTCCAGCCTTGGGTGACAGACAGGGACCCTGTCTCAAAAAACAAGGACAACAGAGTCATCATAGCTAGCTTCCCTTTTCTTGAGTTTTATTGTTTTGTTAGATTTGTTTATGGTGCGGTTTCTAAGCGTGTCATTAAACACCAGTAGAGTAGTTCTTTCATTTCGAAGGCCCCTCATGTCTGCTGACAGTCTTGGCCTGTAGCTTTCTCTGATTGTCCCTGATTTCACAGATTTCACCATTATGCAGGGAGGGTCTTCGTATGCTTTGCCTCTGCCCAGCTGTGTTTGAAATAGTTTTCTTTCTTTTTTTTTTTTTTTTCTTTTTTCTGAGGTGGAGTCTTGCTCTATTGCCCAGGCTGGAGTGCAATGGCATGATCTCGGTTCGCTGCAACCTCTGCCTGTCCGGTTCAAGTGATTCTCCTGCCTCAGCCTCCTGAGTAGCTGGGATTACAGGCGTGAGCCACCACACTTGGCAATTTTTTTTGTTTTGTTTTATATTTTTAGTAGAGACAGAGTTTCACCATGTTGGTCAGACTGGTCTTGAACTCCTGACCTCGTGATCCACCCGCGTCAGCCTCCCAAAGTGCTGGGATTATAGGCGTGAGCCACCGCGCCCGGCCTGGAATAGTTTTCAAGCAGGGCTTCTACTCTAGTTTAATAAATTCAAATTTGTAATAGAAGTACCAGAAGCAAGATTGCAGACATTTCTGCAGCATTGTGTACAGAAAGCCTGCCATGTTCATTAGCGGATTTTAAAATCATTAGTAGGCATTTAAAGCAGTGATTTAATTACCTTATTGTAGTTTGAAAATAATACAGCCAAAGTTCACTAAGACTTTAAAACTCACCCTAGTGAATTTTAAACTCCCCTCCCCATTAATTTGCCCTAAATTACAGTGTTGCTTTTCGCCAAGGTCCTTTCAGAGAAATGGGCCATTTCATCTACAGATAGGAGAAAAGAAGTTTAATTCTGGGATTAAAGAGTAAATGAAAGAGAGTGTGCTGAAGAACAGTAAGGCTTAAAAACCCAAGTTATGTGTCACTTGTTTTCAACTCAAGAGACTGTTTTGTCTGCCTACATTTTCAGTCCCCTTTTTAAAAGTCCTCCGTGCTCCTCAACAAGGCTCTGTTGGCCGAGGCGCCTGCAGCTGGCCCTCACCCTTGCCTGAGCTGAGCGGCCCTCGTCTGCCCACCTCCCACAGGCAGCCGCTGTGAGCTCTGTGTCGCTCAAGGACACTGGTGGAGAAGCAGCTGTGTCCCTTCCTTAACTAAGTCAGAGTTAAAATGTGAACATTTACACCATTTCTGTCCGTTTCAGTGCAGATTCAGACCCCGCTAGGAGCTCCCGTCTCCAAGGAAGTTTCACTGGGGGCTGGACTGCAGCCCTGTCTTTGGTACTTGGGTTGCAGCTGCAGCCTTCATGACAGCAGGTGGTCACTGTGATTCAGTACGTGCTGTCCTGGTCTGTTCTACAAAATACCGTGGAGTCTCATGGTGACAACAGGAACTCATGTCTCACAGATCTGGGGGCTGGGAAGTCCAAGATCTGGGTGCCGGCAGATTTGGTGTCTGCTGAGGGCCCTCTGTCTCCAGGATAGCACCTCACTGCAGCATCCTCGCGTGGGAGAAGAGATGGAAGGGGCTGGCAGAGCCCTCATGGCCTGATCACCTCCCGAGGGCCTCACCTCCCCATGCCGTCATCTTGGGGTAAGTTCCAATTTCGAGTTTTGAAGGGACACACACTCAAGCCACAACAGTGCTGAGCGTCGCCCTAGCTGCCCATCAGCCCATTGGTGAGGCACTGTGACTTCACCCTGGACGACCCTGAGGCATGAAGAGGTGGAGCACTTGTCTAAGAGCCACCTGGTGGGATGAGCAGAGAGCTGGGACTCAGTGCTCAGCCCTGACCCGGGGCCCCGGAACCTTC